AGAATATTGATTTTTCCTTCCCAAGACATTAAAAAACATTTTTATAAGCCGATAAAAATACAGATACATCTAATCTCTTATCCTGGATAGAATTTGCGAAGTATTATCCCGCTACATTTATTGATACTATTTAAATATTCCACTGATATTCAGAAAACCCTGATCTCATAGTTAGTGGAAGTAATAACTGTACTGTATTAGCAAGTAAGTTATGGGCATTTCTACATCAAGTTTTACCATAAGAATAAGTAAGCGTCTTTTAATAATGTATCATTTTAACATTTATGTGAAAAGGGTAAATTTTAAACTGAGTAATTGAAAAAAAATCTTTGTCGGCATCTTTTTATTCATGTAGAGATAAAATGAAGATGTTTATAGTATATCATAAAATAACTTAAGTTGCACATCACAAAAAACAAACAACTACATTTCTTTTACACCTAACTGTAGAAATTGTTAATACAGTAGAGCTATGTGTTTATTATTATAATTCACATGTGTACATTACACTTTATTTACTCTTATACCACACTTGGTAAGTGATGTCAGGAGAGCGAAGTTGGGGTAAATCAAAGTTATTTTCACAGTCGTTTAAGTTTTATTATTACAACACAAGAATCACAAGACACAAACTGACGAAGAAGAGTTCAGGAAACTTAGTATTGGTGTATCTCATTTCTTTATGTTTACATTTATTTTCCATAACCTACACTCCCACCGTCATAGCCGCCGCCACTAGAACCGCCATAACCGCCACCGCTGGAGCCGCCATACCCACCACCACCACCGCTGGATCCGCCATACCCACCAACGCCGCCGCTGGAGCCGCAATACCTACCACCGCCGCCGCTGGAGCCGCCATACCCACCACCGCCGCCGCTGTAGCTGCCATACCCGCCACCGCCGCCGCTGGAGCCGCCATACCCACCAACGCCGCCGCTGGAGCCGCAATACCTACCACCGCCGCCGCTGGAGCCGCCATACCCACCACCGCCGCCGCTGTAGCTGCCATACCCGCCACCGCCGCCGCTGGAGCCGTCATGTCTGCCTCCGCTACCACCTCCATGGCCACCACCACCGCCACCACCATACCCGCCGCCATCACCTTCGCCACCGCCGCCACCACCATGCCCTTCTGGCTTGGCAGGGCAGGTCACAGCCAGGAGCCCCACCACCATGGTCACAAACAACTGCGTCTGAAATTGTCAGAGATAAACTATTTGTATTAAGGTTATTATTATCAGTTAATATAATGGTACTATAAATAAGTTCTTTTACCACAGAGATGTTAGGTCAGTTACTTTCTGTAAATCAACGAGAAAAGGTTTGCTTCACTGAAACTTCACTAACAATGACAGAGAAGAGTATTATTTATTTGAGTGCAAAAAACACGATATGTGTAACATTTGTCCGATATAAAGTTTTCTTTTGTACATAATTTACTACGGTGAAGCTGGAAACCATTAGTTCAAAATATAATTTTCAAATCTGTCTTGAACTTGTGCCTATACCTTCACCTATACCAGCAACTCCTTTACTCGTCTTGCTGATGAGCTGAACTGTTATTAATAAGATAAGTGAAGAATGCACTTATAGAAGACGATGATAAATTACTTAAGTCATAATAAGTCTTACCATACCGATGTTGGGAGGATCAAGTTCAGTTGTTGACTGTATGAAGAGAAGTCTAGGTGAGTGCTTTTATACCTCCCTCAGGTGATGGCTGACTGCGTGACTGTTTCCTCATTAGTCAGTTAAGCTCCACTTACCAATTGAGTAACACAAACTTCATATCTAAAAAGATTAAATTTGTTAACTTCTGCTATATAACAGGCGGCACCTCATGGAGCTTTGTCACTTATGAAAATCTTTGAGTGTTGTGAAAAAGCTGCAGAAATTATCCCATTTGTGAGCCTTCATTGCCAGCCCCTTGGAGAACGACCTTCACGTTGTATCTGGGGATCATAAGGGTAGAGCATTTTAAGGTATTATTTACATTCCTTAAATCCATTTTTAGCTTTGAAAATTCCTTAGAAAAATAAAAGTTATCTTATTTGCGTTAAACACACAAACACCACTGCTATTCTGTTCCCCTGACATTATTAATGGAGCGGATAACAGTAATCCTGTAAATCATAAATGATCATACAAGCATGAAATTTCATATAAACATTAAAAATGGGTTACTTATCAAATCTATCCGATTGAACATTAAAAATTCCAAGATGTAGCCATTTTCCATGATGGCCGCCAAATTTGCCTAACTGAAAACAATTTTTACATATATTGACTTATTATTGGGCAATCTGTGCACATAAGGTGTCTATTCTTATGTTTTAAAGCATGCTGGAACAGATTATGATTGTTTTGGAACGCTCAGATATGTCTTGTGTGCATAAAGTAGAGGTTCAACACATATTTTTACCTATTTTCATAACAAGTGTAAGCAATTCTCAGTTAAACAATGAGAAACATGTTTATCTTTTGCTCATATCCTTGTGAGATATTGCTATAAGAATTCTTTCATATTTACAGCTGCTGGTATGTGAATGCACACAGAGTGTGCAAGTGAGACCAAAGCTGATACATTTACATCGCTATCCACAGTCTTTCTTGCAAGAACACTTGGTCAGTTCTTGACAACTCGCTGCCCCAGTTAGGACGACTTGGAATGTCTGATTGTGCTGCAGTTACCTGACCTCCAAATCATTCCACCTTGATAGGCTGCACGCTTTACATGGTGGACTAGACCTGTCTTACATCACCACCACAAACCTTTCTAAGACACGGAGGTCTTCTTCACTAACTGATGTAAGACACTGACTGAGTTTAATGAAGGTACTGGAGAACTCGTTTAACACATTCCATGTTTACCATGCAGTCTTCTTACCTTTTTCAAGGAAGGCTGACACAACATCACAACCACCGAATGCATGGAAAAATGTGATTCTAGTGGCTTTTTCAGGCTCTATGTCTACAACTAACTCATGAACAGGAATCCATCTTGTATAAGTCCCTAAGCCCCATGACAATAAGAAATCCACATTTCTTCAAGACCAATGATATCTGTGTCATTGGCTTTTATGAGGACTCTTTTACTGCCTTCCATTACAGCTTGTCTTTCTTGTACAAAGAGGCGGGTATCTGCCTCTTCATGGGAGCATGGCATCAACTCTTCTAGAGGCGTATTATGGTTGCTAATGACATAGCAACAACTGACTTGGATGCTCCATGCTGAATTTGTGATTTATTATCTGTGCCATGTTAACTCATAACTGATGAAGGAGCTGCATATTCGATACTTCTATCATCAAGTATGGTTAGGAATTTTGACTAGTGTTTGAGCATATTCTGCCTTATTATTTTCTCAGCCTTGGCCAAATGAACATCTTCACTGTATTTGCCAACCTCAGCCAGGATGGAGCCTACATCCTCTTGGAATGCTAGCAAAACATCTCTTCCTTGATTGTGAGCTCCCAGTTGAGGAATATGTGAAACTAATTGGTTCTTAAGCCTAGTAGAATAAATTTCAGGCGATTCGACACCAAGTTGTTCGAGTCTTTGCTTGTACAGTAAGACTAAGTCTGCTAGTCTAAAAATTGTTCCATGAGAACCTTCACATGCAGTTTTTGTCTCATTGATGTATGTCACCAATTCAGAGAAAGCCAGTGAATATTCATCTTTTTTTCATGGTTCTTTGTGTTTTTTTCGTATCCTTTGCACTAAGATAAGCTCTTTCTCTATTGTACAGTGCAGCTCAGCAAGCAGGGTAAAATTTCACCTCTTGTGCCACTACATCTCTTGCACTAAGTTAGCAAGGGATCTTTTGTCACTGAGTCTTTTTGCACATTCATTGACGCTGTCACTGAGTTTCATTGTTATTGTTTGACGGAGAGCACTCTCTGGTGCTGGTTTGTCACACAAAAAGCATTCTGTTGTGTTTTTTGTGTCTCTTGGCTTTCATAGCACCTTACTTCGGCAACCTTCATCACTGTCAACTAGAGAGGTGGTTGCTCTTTTTGGGGCTCTTTGCAACATTATGTTGCTCACCTAAATCTACAGCTCTCATGATATTTGGCAGTATTTTTCCTCATTGTCTCTGCAATACCATCTCCATCATCTAGTGTTTCCATATCAAGCCTTATTGGAAGGGCATTGATTGAGTTGAAAAGAGGAATATTCTTGGCTAATTTGCTGTAGCCATCTTTCTCTCTTCTAGTAGCGTTAGTCCTTGGAGATTTAAGTTCTTCCTTTTTATATCATGACACAGACAGCACTTGGCCCAGGATTACTTTTAGGACCAATATTCATCGCCATTGTGGAACAGAGTCGAAGGTTTTTCCTTTTACCACTCTATATCATGCGTACTTTCCTTCTATGAGATACAACTAGGTTTAATCAATTGATTGCCCTAACTTTAACCCCATTACCCTTGGCTCGGCTCTCCCACGCTGGTACATCCTGTCAATTCGGGTGCGGCTACCTAACCTTATTTGAGGCTAATTAGGTAACACACGCACGCACACACACACACACACATATATATATATATCTATCTATATATATATATATATATATATATATATATATATATATATATATATATATATATATATATATATATATAAATTAATCTTTAATATAAGTTTCGTACTTAGTTGACACTGAACCCCATTTTGAGTTTCACAGCAGTGTTGTCACCAGTGTGCCCTGGTGGTACATTGACATTTACTCTTCATAAGCATGTTTCCTTTGAATGCTCTCCATTTCAGAGTTTTCAACACAAAATTCAGGTTCTACGTACTCAAAAACACGGAAATCAACACTGAAATCACCTGAATTGAGGAACACAATAAACTTTAAGCCCAAAAGGAAAATCTGACATCCACTTTTGGTGGCCATCTTGGAATTTTCATTGTCGAATCAGGGAGATTTGATAATTAACCCATGTTGAATCCTCATGCCAATTTTCAACAATTTGCCGCTCCTCTACCAGGTATCGTTGCCTCTGATGTAACTACTACTCGTATTACCTTTCACTCATTTATTATAATGAACTGTGAGTAACTAACAACTATTAAAAACTTGAAAATTGCGCCCTCGACTACTAACTGCAGTAACAAAGGACATAGAGATGAATTTTTTATCATTACTACATTGATATTAGGTTTTGAGGTAATTAATATAAGTATAATCCTAGTTTAACGATAGGAGCTATTTAATCCTCACTTACATAGGATGTACTGTACAGTAAATGAAAGAAAACGTTTATCATAGTTATCCACATATCCATTATCATGAGTGAGATCTGATTAAGGAAAGGAACTAACCTTAAATATTGTACACACCAATCAATAATTCAGGGATGAAGAAATGGTTCAGGGTGGGTGAATTATATCTTGAGTTCACTGCGACTCTCCAGGTTACAGGATTTATATCAATATTAAGCAGGTCCCACCTTCAGGAAGTTCTGGGTTGAGGCAGATAAATAACATCAGTATTGTCCTTTTTTTCGGGGGTTAGAATGGAGACTTAACTCATACATATCTATCATATTTAATTTCAGAAATGTAAATGGTGCCACCATATAAAATATATCATTGGACACTGAGGATGGAGTTTTCATTATTATTTGTCAGGAAAGGGGGAGTGTAAGAACTATTGTGTATTTTATAGATGGAAAATATAGCAAGATATAATTAATACGGAGTAATATACAGTATAAGTAATAGAAACAGACCTGTTATTGTACTAAATTTTAGAAATTTATTGGAAAGATATATATATATATATATATATATATATATATATATATATATATATATATATATATATATATATATATATATATATATATATATATATATATATATATATATATATATATATATATATATATATATATATATATATATATATTATAAGTAAGAAATATTGAAATATGGAATAAAGACTGCACAGGCTGCAAACAGTGGAAGACTAGATTGATAAAAAATTCCACATATATATTAGACAGAATGTTAGCTTTATGAAAACTAAGTTTAATTTACCTGCCAGTAAAATTAACCATCAAATGCTACAGTTTATTTGCTTTTGCATCATTACTTGGTAAACGATGTCAGGAGAGTGAAGTCGGTGTCAATCAAAGTTCTTTTCACAGTCGTTTAAGTTTTATTATTACTACACAAGAATCACGAGACAGAAACTGACGAAGAAGAGTTCAGGAAACTTAGTATTGGTGTGTCTCATTTCTTTATGTTTACATTTATTTTCCATAACCTCCACCGCCACCATTATAACCGCCACCTCCGGAGCCGCCACTGCCGTAGCCACCGCCGCTACTTGAACCCCCATAACCACCGCTACCGCCGCCGCTTGAGCCACCATACCCACCACCACCGCCGCTGTAGCTGCCATACCCACCACCGCTGCTACTGGAACCACCATACCCTCCGCCACCACCGCTGGAGCTACCATACCCACCGCTGCCACTTTTGGAGCCACCATAACCGCCACCACCGCCGACTGAGCCACGATAACCGCCACCGCCATCACTTTTACCTCTTCCGCCACCACTATATCCGCCTCCACCACCACTATAACCGCTTCCACCACCACCTCCATGGCCACCACCACCACCACCACTATACCCTCCTCCGCTACCGCCGCCACTTCCATGCCCATCTGGCTTGGCGAGACTGGTCACAGCCAGGATCCCCACCACCAAGGTCACTAACAACAGCTTCTGAAATTGTCAGAGATAAAATAATATTAGTAAGTTATTCTCATGAATTAAATAGTATTACAAATAAGTTCTTTTACCAAACGAAGAAGGGTATTGTTTATTTATGTGCATAAAACATGATATTTGTTTACAATCTTTGATATACAGTTTTCTTCAGTACAGACTTTACTATAATGAACCTGTACACCATTTGCTCATAATATAATTTTTAAATCTGTCCTGAACTATACATTCACCTGTACCAGCAACTGCTGTAAATTACTTAATAAATTATGTCTTACCATACTGATGTTGGGAGGATCAAGTTCAGTTGTTGACTGGATGAAGAGGTGTATGGCTGAGAGCTTTTATACCTCCCTCAGGTGATAGCTGACTGCATGACTGTTTCCTCATCAATCAGTTAAGCTCCAATTATCATGTTCGTTAGATAAACAATACGTTATTTGATGTACCTACCTACTGCATATCTTTTGGACTTTCAACTTAAATGAAATACTCTGTGGGATTAAATTTTATGGTGTTCTGCTCTTTGACGGTATGGATTCCTGTCGTGTTATATCAAATCCTTACAATATTTTTTAAATGCATTTTTTTTTTAAATATCGTTATGTTCATTTGATTCAACCAATTGTGCTGCCTGAAAGATTGAAAATGACCACCCCTAGTCTCCATTATTACGCTCCTTTCGCATACTTGCTTTATATAGTTTCCCTTGAATGAAATGAAATGCGTTAATTATGCAATTAAACCTTAAAGGTGGTATGCCTATATTGACACCAGGATTTAGTAATGGTCACGGGTCATGTTTTATTCATTTACTACATATTGTTGATATGATATTACTCTCATAACTTGAGCCTTGGGGTGTGTTTACATGGCATATACCAAATGTTTGCGCAAATGATACCATCAATGTTAGTGTTAATGTTTTCGTTAATGTAAACTTCAATGTAAGCTAATATTGTTGTTAATGTTAGCATAAGAATTAGCATCAATGTTAACATCATTATTAGCGTATTGTTAATCAGTATTAGCGTCAAAGTTTGCATCAATGAATAAGAGTATCAATATCACCTCCTATTGTCCCTTTCTATTGAGGCGTGCGGTCATCCGGACACCAGAGGAGAGGTCTTAATCAAACTCAAAAAACATGGTAATGTGATAAAATATTGACCATAGTTGCGTGAGTGTAGGGCTGGTCGTTCACCTTCTAGTAACGTAAGGGGATAATTTCTGTGAATTATTTACTGATCCTTTCAGGAAAGACCTTCATTCGGATCTGACGCAACCGAGAATGAAGGTTATACAGTACGTCATAGTTTGCAAAGATGCTAAGATGATGAACAATTTTGTATTATACGCCTATTTTATATTTATTAAAAGCTTCTATTACTACTACCACTTTTATTTTTGAAACGTGGCCTCCAGCCTCCCCCAATAGCCACAATTTCACCGTCATTTTATTACCTTAAAATTTAATATCCTAATACATAAGTAGCTATTCTAGCTGTGGTGAGTTAGTTGAGCCACAAATCTATGCGGCATTCAGTGACTGTTGCATCATAGTCAATATCTGCAACTGTTGTCGGCTTTAGGGCCGATGCCCTCGTTCCCCTGAGGCAGAGCAAAGCCGACTTAAGGAGAGAGAAGGACAGTCGACATCTCATCCAGGCTGTAACATTACTTCTGGGCTGCTGCTTCTGTTCGGATAGCACCTCCGCTAGTCTGGCGTAGAAACATCTTGCACTTGGTCCCATCCCACCAGAAGTTGCGAACACCAGAGAGTGAAGCTGTCTTGATCAACTTTCTGAATTATCTCCCCGTATGCCCTTATCTTGTCTTTCTCGTGCCTCCTGTGTGCATCATCGAGAGCTAAGTTACGGTTACATGCGGCCATGGGATAAAAAATCCTGATGTCGAAGAAGGCTCGCTGTCCCAACGTCCAGAATCCTCAAGCGCTGACGTCAACACGGGCTTCGTTGCATGTGTTTGAAGTCTTATGTTGGAAATTCTCACAGTCCAATGGAAGGAGGTTTGGTTCTACCCCGACATCACGGCAGATTTCCTTCAATATATTTGCTGTGAGATCCCTTACTTCGTCATGCCTTATGCATAAGAAGCCCCCTACTAAAACTACAACTACTACTTTTTTTTCCAGCATCCCCCAATAGCCACACCTTCGCCACGATTTTATTATCTTAATATTAAATATCCTAATACATAAGTAGCCATCCTATCTGTGTTGAATTAGTTGAGCCGCAGATCTATGCGGCATTCAGTGACTGTAGCCTCATAGTCAATATCTGCAGCAGTTGTCGGAATTGGGGCAGAAGCTTTCGTTCCCCTGAGCCAGAGCAAAGCCGATCGAAGGAGAGAGAAAGACAGTCGACACCTCATCCAGGCTGTAACATAACTTCTGGGCTGCTGCTTCTGTTCGGAGATCACCTCCGCGAGTCTGGCGTAGAAACATCTTGCACTTGGTCCCATCCCACCACAGTTTGTGAACACTAGAGGAGTGAAGCTGCATTGATCAACGTTTTAAATTCTCTCCCCATATGCCCTTCTCTTTTTATTCTCGTTCCTCCTATGTGCAGCATCGAGAGCTAGGTTACGGTGACATGCGGCCATGGGATCAGAAATCCTAATGACGAAGAAAGCTCGCTGTCCCCGCGTCCAGAATCCTCGAGCACTGACGTCAACACGGGCTTCGTTAAATGTGTTTGAAGTCCTATGTTGAAAGATCTCACCATCCAATGGAAGGAGGGTCGGTTCTACCATGACATCCCGGCAGATTTCCTTCAACATATTTGCTGTGAGGTCCCTTACTTCGTCATGCCTCATGCATATGAAGCCCCCTTTCTTGCACACCATGGCGTGATCGCCGTCATATGAAAAGCAACACACGCATTGGGAGGGCAAACCTTCTACTGGCCGACCGTACCTTAGAGCAATGGCATCTGAAAAATCTTGTTTATTAAGACTACTACTACTACTACTACTACTACTACTACTACGAACAATAATAATAATAATAATAATAATAAAAATAATAAAAATAATAATAAAAATAATATAAATAATAATAATAATAATAATAATAATAATAATAATAATAATAATAATAATAATAATAATAATAATAATAATAATAATAATA